GTTGTTGCCTGAGCAACGCTCAGATAACAAACGCCGGGTTGTACCCTTATAACCCGGCATCTGCGTGTCGCCCGAGCAGCGCTTAGACAACGCGCACAAGCACTTGGCATAACCTTTCTCTGACAAGTAAATAAACACTGCGCGAGGCAGAGTAGATAGCTCTCTATCGAATACAATCCTTGTATACCCAAGCGTTTGCTCCACGGAGCGCAGCCCCTTACACCCATAGCCTATAGGAAGGGGAAGAACCTTTAGTTCTGTTCCCTCTACTGAGAAGACATCGCAGTTCCACACCACACCTCCACAGTATCCTTTTTCTTTTATATAGTCTTAGGCCTTTAGATACAGTAAAGACTTTTATAATTATATATAAAGTAGTGTAACGGGTCGAGTCCTATTAGACTGCGCACGCAACTACAACGCGCCCACCGCGCCAAAAAGGCTGGCACAAGATATCAGAGCTGCTGATATCGTTGCGTAGTTGATACATAAGATAGCCACCGCTATCTGTACTGTAGCGGGCTACCTAGCCCGTTACAAGTAGCCTTAGAATATAAATTTAAAGTAGCTCTTTTACTACTCTTAAATAATACTTTCAATAAAGACCTTATTTAGGCGTTACTATATATAATAGCTACTATAATAGTAGTTAAGCATAATGAAAGTCTTATCTAACAAAATAATATTTTTCTAATCTTTAAGTATTTAATTTTTATAAGTAGAATACTACTTAAGTCTTTTTTATTTTATTCTTATTGTTAACTTAAGCTTTTTTATTAGCTTTATCTTATTATAAATAGCTACTTAAAGAACTCTTTATATAGTAGATAACAAGATGTTATAGCTATAAATACTAAGATTACTAGTAATCTTAGCGTAGCTCTTTTTTTTACACTTATAATAATATATATTCTTAAAAGTAGTATTATATATTTTTTTTACTTATAAAAGTAGCTTATATATAAGGTATTTTTGAAGTATAATAAAAAAATCTCAATTAGACGTATATTAAGCTTAAAGCCTTACTAGTAAGCTTTACTATAAATTAAGTTAATTATATATAGTAATATACTTATTATTTCAATAATTTTACATATAGATTTGCTACTAAAAGGTAACTTTAACATAATAATAAAAAAGTAAGTTAATAACGTGGTTCATAAGCGAGCGGACACCCCAAGCGAGCGGACACCTCCCCACCAGCGCGTCAACTTCAACACGTTATCACAGCCTTTTATCACAGTTAATAAACTATTGCAATATACTAAATTAATTATTAGAATCGCTATTATCACTTGCACTATCTATCTCAACTGCGCAGGTACGAGCGTTGTGTCCAGTCTGCTTGCAACGCCCGCACCGCCGCTCTCCTCGCACCCTCTTCGACGCACTCTCACCATCACCACGACTGCTACCCGCCTGTTCAGCTAATACTTCTTGTACTTCGCCTACAGTAAGAGTCTCTTCTGTCCGTACGTATCGCCGCTTGCGGCTTTTACGCTTATTTAACTCGTTAAGAGCCGCTTAAAGCGTACCCATTTCCTCCATTATAAGCGTTATTTTATGTGCCATTTGCTAGGCCCCCTTACTTAGCTACGCGATCTGCTTAGTGAGTGAATTAGCAGAAGATCCACGGCGTTTTCTTACGCTCTCTTGAATAAGACTAATTTGAGACTCAACTTCGCGCGCGTTGCGTGGTGTCTGCGCCTACCAGGCAGCTACCTGTCGTGGTAATTGACGAGGTGTCTGCACCACTACATCAAGCTTAGATAGCACAGCCTGTGGGTCGTGTGGGACTAGACTAGCACCTCTAAAGCCAGCTTAGATATTCTCCTTCGTGATAGACTGCTTAAAAGCAGCCTTAAAGGCTAGTAGGAAGGTTTCCTTGCTAATATAGTGGGTGCGGTTGCGTGCTAAGCCTGAAACAGCGTCGCCATACTTGCGCTTTAATGGCGAGAAGCAGGCGACGTTAAGGGGCTGCAACAGGTGAGACGAGTGTGGAGGCATGCAGAGAATAATAACATTCTTCTCCTTGCAAAGATCTTGAAAATCGATAGAGCAGTGGCTCTTATGGCCGTTATTAATAAGTAGTTGATACCCACCTACAGTAGAGCTCTTTGTATGGGTATTAAAGTGCTCTAACTAGGCAAGACTAAGCTAATTATTTGTCTAGCTATTGGGACTAACTTTAAGAACCTAGTTAGCAGGCAAATCCTTAAACCAGACGTTAATAAGCACCTTGCCTGCAAAGACAACGAAGGGTGGTATCTAGCGACCTGATGCGCCCACGCCTTGGATCACAGTAACCTACTCGCGGTTGCCTGGCTGTATCCGCTTCTTTTTTCTATATTCTTCTAAGCTTATAATTAATAACTATAATAAAATCTTGCCTATTATGAAGCTAGTTTCGTTAAAGTTGTAGATATCGTCGTCCACAATACCCCACTTCTGCTTTGTCGCCTGGACTAAGTCGAACCAGCGCTAGATAGCCACTAGGTCCTCGCAGGCGGCTCGCTGGTGATCATAGGGACGGCTCCAGCGCGTACGGAGCTTAGCAGTCCGCCTGACAAAGTTGTCAACCCAGTTCTTGCCAACAGGGTTGCCACCACGCTCCTCTAACAGTTTATCGGCCATTGCTCGAACCTCAGCCTTTATAGGCGCAAATCCTCGCGCAGACTCTTCAAGAATACGCCTAACAATAGCCTCCTCTTCTAGCTTATTCAAGCGCTTTGAATTTGGTTCGCAGTCGCGTTGAGAGTGTCTTCTAGCGCGTTAGTAAAATAAAGTTATTTAAGGGACGCTATAGATCTTAGCAGCACGTTTAACACTCTTTACACGTTAGGAATTAATATTAGAAATAGCAAGTTAGATATTAGCTTTAGAAAAAGTTTGTTAAATCTAATGTGGTTGAGACATAACGCGTTGTAGTATAAACGTCGACGCGCTGGTGAGGAGGTGTCCGCTCGCTTGGGGTGTCCGCTCGCTTATGAAACACGTTATATCTTTATTTAAAGCTATAGTAGATTAAAAACACTTGAAAAATAAGTATATAAGCTATTGCTAGCTTTAAAAACATCAGTATAGGCGCTAAAAATAGTGAGGCTAATAGGCTAGCGGCTTAGCGTGGCGCTAGCAAGAACTTTTGACAGTCACCTCCGTACGGAGGTGCCTCACAAAAGTTTTGTCCTGCCAAGAATAATTTAGCCGAAATCTGGCCGCTCTCCTACACAACGCCTATCTCTCCCCTCTATATACTCATTACCACCTTGTAGCTCAATTATCTTTGGAATATGTATAAGAATACG